AAAAAAAAAAAAAAAAAAAAAAAGGCAAAGAACGCTTCAAAAAGAGCCCAACTGATCTAAGAGGTGCCTCCAATCAAGCAAAATAAGATCTAAAAGACAATTAAGAGAGGTGTGACATCAAACAAGGGACCAAACTTCACCCAGGTGAAGATTGTTCAACCCCCGAAGAAACAAAAAATACAAAGACAAGCAAACCACAACGAGCAGCCTTTTTCATGAAAGGGGGAATGGAAAAAAAAACTCCTCCGACATGGAACGACAGCTCCTCAACTTGGCCAAGCTGAAGTTAAGAGTCGCTCCACACTAATCTAGTGAACTAACAAGACCACAAGAAATGATCAATAACCTCAGCCACTTCCCTACAATGGATACAACACTGGGCCGAATCAAATTGGGTGAAAACCTCTGAACATGATGCAAAGTATTAACCTTGCCGTGGATGGTTTGCCCAACAAAAAAATTTACAAATAGAAAATCCACCTCAAGGTATTGTTATTTTGTACGGGAAAATCTTGTAACATGAAGAAGTCAAAAATAGTATCAATATGTGGTTGCCAAAAGCCAGTATAGAAGTTCAGAGCGCTTGCTCACGGTATATGTAAAGGCATATGGATCAAGAGAGTTCAAAGTGAATTGGAAAAAGTTGTTTATCACCAGTATAGATGATGTGTGACAATCAAGTTGCAACAGGCATTACAAAAACTCTAATTCATCATGATAAGACAAAACATTCAAAAATTGATCAAATTTTCATCTCAGAAAAAGTCAATAATAAAGTGGTTCAATATCCTTACAGAAGACCTATCTCTCACTAATATTCCCTTAAGCAATTAGGTTTTACAAGGTCAAGTTTTAGAGCCCAGCCGTTACTATTTCTTTCGGAGTTCCGAATTCATCAGTTGTTTTGGAAACACTCAGATGAGAACGGCTTGATTTCAACTCTCCTCTAAATTCGATTAAAACGAAAACAAACACAAATTAGAAAAGAACAAGAAGAAAAATTGAAAAAATGATAGTAATCAACAAAATATAAAGCGTCAACTGATACCGTAGTAACAACAGCAAGAGCAGCAAGAGAAAAACCAATCCCGATCGAAAACCACGCTCTCAGAACCCTGCAACGATTCACATAAATGTAAAATAAATAAACAAAGAGTAAAAACAAAAATTAAGTACTCCACGGACAGCAATACTACAAGAGACAGTGAAAATCGAAAGAGAAACCTGGCATGTCTTCGTCCAAAATGGAAAATAGGTTCGTTGAACGAGGTGATCTTACAATCACAATACCAGCAGGAAACAGCATTTGAGAGACCTTTGCGAGACGTGCTAAGAGGGAGTAGTGGAGGAACGCGAGCGTGAGCGTCGGCCTCAGCCCTGGGTCTCTTACTGAGCCTCCATCTTCCTGACATTCTGCCTGCATGTCCAGTTTCCTTCCGTCGAAGGGCGGACGACGCTTAAATACTATAATGAAATTAAAATATATATATATATATAACAATAATAGTAAAAATTAAATTAAATTACACCCGAATTTTTTATTAAAACCTAAAGCGAGTATAGTTCGACCATAATTGATACAGTATTCAAGTCTTTTTATCAAGAAAATGATGACAAGGGAAGTCTATTAAGAGAAAAGTCAACGCGTCGGTGAAAGTCAACAATTTTTTTACGATACAAAAAATGAATATATTCTAATGGTAATTCACTTTTTTTTTTAGTCATGTTAGGCTAAATACTTATTAATAGGACATTTATGAGAGTGATTGCCTTTATATGCACAAATTTGTCATTGATGTATGAATAACATTACAATGAAAGCCTTCCCGAAACTCTAGTCTGTTAGGTAAATATTTACGAACGAGACATCTTGTGCAAAATAACACTGTTTAAAGTTTCTTCGAAGGATAGATGGACACATCGTATGCCCTAATAACCACTAGATACATATTTTGAAGTAATTTTATCGTGACAATCTCTTCAAAGAATTCTCCGAGCATGTGAAAACAGTGGTATTAGGAAAGTAATAGAGTTAAGGGAAGAACACAACACATAAAAAAGGAAAGAAAAATTCAAGGGTCAGTGAGTGGCAAACCGATATAGCTTTAGAAGAGCAAAAGAAGACTTGAATATGAAAAAAAAAAAGGACTCGTTACAACCTAGCTTGACTAAGAATGACCTAAAAATCTAAAATAATCTAAATAGGCTCTGATACTGTTTAAAATAATATAGATAGACTCTGATACCGTTTAAAACAGCTCAAATCCACCACTAGTAGATAATGTCTATTTTAGCTCATTACGTATCGCTATAAACTTCACAATTTTAAAACTTATCTCTAAGAGACAAGTTTCCAAACCTTTATAAGAAATGTTTAGTTGGGACCGAGAAGCAAAACATCTTTAATAAGTTTAACATCATTAGCCGATGACAATATACTTATAAATATAACCCTAATCTTAAGTTGTCAAGAGAGACGCTGACGAAAAGTAATTGAGAGAGAGAGAGAGAGATCCAATATAAGCCGATAAGAACACAGCCACTCTAAGACCAGTCGTCTTAGTCGACACTAAACATCAAGCAGCACTAGCCATAGACTCGATCAGTATTTTGTAACCTTCAGGAACGGGTGTCTGCGTCTGAACGCACTCCGCGAGCGCAGGAACATCAGAGCTCACGTCTAACACCCTGGCCAGTAAAAGCAGCAAATGAAAGTCCGAAATTCGCTTCACAAATGTAAGCCCTTTCGAACGGTCTAGGTGATTCTTCAATGCCTTCATTGTCACTGGAACGTTTCGGTTTTCGATGGGAAAAGTCGTAGAAAGTGGACCCTGCATCACAACGATTTCATTAGCATAAGCACGTCCAAGCAAAGAGTAGGGTCGTGACAAGGCCAATCGACAAATAGTGCGTTCATATCGACAAATAGTGCGTTCATATGGAGATTTAAAATTATGCCAAGCACGAACAATAAAATTTATTCAACACCACATGAAAATAATATTAGGGTAGCTTCTAAAATAAGGTCTCTGACATGTTTATGAAGTCATGAGCAAGAACCCATGTAGTTTCCAAATGAAAATGCTGATAAAGCAAGAGGGGTTCTTTTTTTGCTTGAAACCGCGGGAGAAACAGGACATCCATCATCAAATATGAATTGAAAGATAAACACACATTGAATGTCTAAAAGAGAAAACTATTTCAAATCAAATATGCAAACTGACAGCTTCATAAAACAAGATAAATGTATCAGCCCAAGTCTACCGCTAGCAAGATAAATGTATCAGCCCAAGTCTACCACTAGCGGATATTGTCCTCTTTGGGCTTTTTCTTTCGAGTTTTTCCTCAAGGTTTTTGGTTTTTAAAACGTGTCTGCTAGGGAGAGGTTTCCACACCCTTGTAAAGAATGTTTTGTTCCCCTCTCCAACCGATGTGGGATCTCACTATCCACCCCTTCGGAATCCAACTTCGTTCTCCTCTCCAACTGATGTGGGATCAGACAATAAAGATCGTAGAAACATTCATATTGATATAATCCACCACACAGCCCCAACAACATAAAAGAACGTCCCCAAATATAGCAGTGCTAATCCCTCCCATGTAAGACTAGCACCAAGCCAAAGAATTGATCTTCTTGGGCACTCTAACCTTCCACAGCGAAGATAATGAAAAGAACTTGGAGGGGTGAGGATTACACCAGAGAAAGAAGAGAAATTTACAATAAAATCCCTTCGAAGGATTAAAAATCCATAAATGGAGGACCTTGAAGCCCAACACAAAAGGCGACCAATGGAGAATGTAATGCTTACGTCAAAATTACACTACTGGAATTGCACCAATTTACACAGAAGAAAAGAAGACAAAAGCCACAGACACAAACTTCAAAGAAGAAAGATGGTTCAGATGAGGAAAAGGAAAGGGACTATCCCCCACACAATAGTTCTCCCAAATTGGAAAATTGAGTCATCCAGCAGTGAATTTGAAAAACCTGAGAAGGAAGCTCCAAAGTAGGCAACCGAGCTAGATTTTGAGGGTTCGTAAAAGTGTCTTTAGTCCCACATGCTTACTCGAGAAGACGAGGATTATACTCACTATGACCCTATGCCTCAAAATCAATAGGCTTTGAAACAACCTCCCACCCTCATCAACACCCTCCTACAAAAGTCCCTCATGATCTTCTTCTCCTCCCTATTACTTACTGTTGAAGGGGGGGGCTTAACTACAGAACTAAAGTATGGCAGAATCTCACTCAAAACAGATAAGAAAAGTGTTGTATTTCCACCCTTGGAGAGAACTCTAAAAGGAGAGACATTTTTTGATATTTTCCACAACTAGATTCCAAAACAATAAATGTTTTTTAGGGGGAAAAGAAAAAGAAACAAGGCTTTCATTTAGAATAAATGGAAGGAAACAAGGGGAATACAAAAAACCAACCCCCAAAAGGAGCCAAGCTAACAACAAATGATTGGAAGTATGACCAAGGAAAGCACTAACTTTAACGGTCCCTATTAGGCACGTTTTAAAACCTTGAGGAGAAGCCCAGAAGTGAAAGTCCAAAGAAGACAATTTCTGCTAGCAGTGGGCTTGGACCGTTACACTAACTATATGTGGTAAGAAGTCACTCTACTTCACACCCAATATAGATGGCCATCCATCCAGCCAGCCAGCTTACAACAGATCACAGTTCGCAATTGTTACCAATCACAAAACTCTTATCTATAATTAAGACCAAATATGATTTCACAAACAGATACGAATATGTTAAGGCTAACCAGAGAGGTCTCCCTAACCGAGAAAAATTGGTTCTATTAACAACAAACTAAAAATGAGAGAGGCGAATTCTTTACCTCCCCACATGGAACCCCTCGATATGACCCTAATCTATTATCGTTGACACTGATTTGGTCCGGACATCAACAGCAGCCAGGAAAAGAAAAGGGATAATGGATATCCCTGCCTAACCTGTCCCTAGAAGCTAAACTCTTTGCTCTAAGTTTCCCCTTTAACATGAATTAATCAACTAACCTAAGGCAATTCCAAGGAACCAAAATACAAGCAAATTATAGGAATCCAAGAATTCTATGAACCCAAGTAGCTAAATCTTTGCAATTATCACATTCATTCAAAAGAAACATGTTTTTGGTTATTATGAAGAGAAAAACACACCCAAATCAACGCAGCAGCAGAGGAATCAAGTAATCTAATAAGTAAAATTAAAGGGATCACGAACCTGATGGTCGAAAATCTTTACCACCACCAGGAAGAAATCATTGTCAACATCTCTAGTGTCTTTGACACCGACAACAACGTCCTTCTTCATCTTGGATAGCTTAGGATCAAAATCCTCTTGAATATCCGTCTCAAACCAACCTTCCTTGAACAATTTAATACACACATCACTCATTTGAAAAGCCTCAAAATGAACATCAGCACCCCCATCTTCGTTCACCTCCAGCTTCACAACTGCTGTCACCCACTCCTTCAACCCGCTCTCGGAGTGAAACTCAGCTGCCTGAAGTACTTCCCTGTTGGATAAGGTGTAGTCCTTCCTCTCCCGACTAATTGTCTGCGTGAATATAAACCCAACTTTCCTCATCCCCAAACCAACAGCAATCGCTTCCACCAATCTTTCCTCATCTTGATCTCGGAAGAACAGTAAATTATCCTCAGTCCCTTGCTGTGGCGGCTCATATATGAAATCTACCTCGACCTTGCCTTCCGTCGACACCGTTCCGTACATAAATCCCCCACGTTTGACGGCGAAGGCTAGCGTTTCATTAACATAATGCTGGAAAGCATTCGCGCAATCCCTGTCGAACGAAACCAATTCACAGTGGGGATTTTCTTGACGGGTGATCCGCATCTGCCTAGCGATTAGATCATCCATAGTCATTTTACGGCCAAAAGATCCAGCGGGATGGATGGAAGGTCCAGCAACAGTACGCTCACCCTCATAAGCAAGATACACAATAGAGCCATGAGAGAGATTGAGTGAGGAAAGAAGGGTATTAGGATTAGACATGTCCATGAATTTCGAACGATCGCCATGAGCATTAGCCAACAGAATATTTTGGTTAGTGGAGAGGGTTTGGTTGTGGATTGGAATCTTGAGCTGAGATTGAATAATCGCTTTGAGTTGAGCGATCGTAATGTGTGGACTCTCTACAGCAACACGCTCCAGGCCATCTCTGCTGCGAATTCTGAGCATCATATTGCTGCCGGCGGAAATTCTAGTGTGAATTTCTTTAGGAGGCGATTGATCGTTGTTGAAAAGAGAGATTTGAGGAAGAACTGCTGCAAGTCGGCGGTGGGTCTAAGAAAACGCTGCCGGAATCAACGGAAGTCGATCGGTACCGTGGTGGGTTGGATTGTATCTATATATCGAAGCGGAAGAATTCCGCAACGGATTGGGAATCGCGAATAAACAATTTCCTAATTTTCTGCTTTGCGCTAAATCATTAACCCCTTTTCTTTTAATGCGCAAATTTAATTGTTTGGGCTTTGAAAATCCTGTGCTCTAAATTTCTGATTTTTTAAGAAAAATCTAATATTTAGGTTTTATGATTTTCTTGTTTGAAAGTTTGGATTTTTTTATTCGTAATTTAGGGCTTCAGATTTCATATTAGGGGAGGTTTAGGAATTTCCTTTTTTTTTCTAATTTTAAAATTTTTTTAAAAAAATCTCCCTTTAAAATATAAATTTATATATTATAGATAAGTTAATTTAAAAAAGATTTAAAACGTTAACTACTCGTATATTTAATAATTTAAAATTTTAAAAATTTATTAAATACAAAATTGATAGTAGGAAGGAATTACCAGAAATATATAAAAAAAATTACTGTCTAAACATAAACTTAAAGGTCTAACCTGCACCACACGTAGATACCCGTGTAGCCCACCAACAGTGGCTTTGAGAGTGCACGACCTAACCCTTTAGGCATATGATCCAATCCACTTTCCTATCCTTGGGTTGGCTCGAATCGAGGTGCACAAGTGGCTCACTTAGTCGAATCTCCCTGGTTCGGATTGGCTCAACAGCTTTTCAACGACTCAGTTTTGCATTTATGTATCCATTTCACCATTTTGAGTCCTTTTCAATCGATATAGGTGAATTGAACACATTAAGACAAGAGTTTTAAGTGATGATCAACTAACGAAAGCTGAAAAACATCAACTCATACCAAAACTATAAAACTATAAGTAAGCTTAAGTTGGAATGGTAACGAGCTATGTTAAGTGAAATTGATTGATATGAATAACACGTGTCATATAACCTTAATTATATAACATTATCTACTCCGTGTCAGACTCCATGAGGTATTATCATATAGGATAAACATAAATCAAATAGAATATACGTCTCATTAGAAACATATGTCACAATAAGCATAGAAGTAATATTTTGCATATATTTAACTAAACTATGATTTCTATATGTCAAATGATCATATGTTAAATATATTATATACGTCACAAACATTTTTATACATAAAATCAATATTAACAAAAAAAAATACCTTATGAAATTAATTTTCACTAAATAAAATAAAATAAAAATTAAAGGGATGAATTTAGGAGGAGAAAGTAAAGTGGGAAGGAATCGGTTAGGCAATAAGTAAGAGAAATGGAAGAAAGGAGAGGCGGAGAAGGAAGGAAGGCACCAAAATAGGAGAGCGTTAGAGGGAAAGAGGGAGAGGGAATGGGTATTTAAACAGAGCATTGCAAGGGTTAAGTCATCAGGGAAGAAGTTCCAACACAAATAAAAACATTAACAAAAAAAAAACATCAAAAAACACGCATCAGTATCAAGTTCCAAGCCGAAGGGAAGAACCAAAATGGGTTCTGGGTTGTTCTTGTCTGCCCTCCTGCTCTGTCTCTCCGCTGCATCGCTCTGGACGGTCCGCGCCGAAGATCCTTACCTCTTCTTCACTTGGAAGGTCACCTACGGCACCATCTCTCCGCTTGGCGTCCCCCAGCAAGGCATCCTCATCAACGGCGAGTTCCCCGGCCCTAACATCAACTCCACCACCAACAACAACGTCGTTGTCAACATCTTCAACCACCTCGACGAGCCCTTCCTCATTCATTGGAGCGGCATCCAGCACAGGAAGAATTGCTGGCAAGACGGCCTTCCCGGGACCACCTGCCCCATCCCTGCCGGCACCAACTTCACCTACCATTTCCAAGTCAAGGACCAAATCGGAAGCTTCTTCTACTACCCTTCCACCGCCATGCACCGAGCCGCCGGTGGCTTCGGTGGCCTCCGCATCAACAGCCGTCTACTCATCCCCGTCCCTTATGCCGACCCTGAAGACGACTACACCGTCCTCATTGGCGATTGGTATACCAAGAGCCACACCGCTCTGAAGCAACTCCTGGACAGCGGCCGCACCCTGGCTAGACCCGACGGCATCCTCATCAACGGCAAGAACGCAAAGGGCGATGGCAGTGACGAGCCACTCTTCACCATGAAGCCCGAGAAGACCTACAAGTACAGAATTTGCAATGTGGGGCTTAGGACGTCGCTTAACTTCAGAATCCAAAACCATCCCATGAAGCTTGTTGAGATGGAGGGCTCCCACGTGGTGCAAAACGATTACCAATCCCTCGACGTCCACGTGGGGCAATGCTTCTCTGTTTTGGTCACTGCCAACCAAGAGCCCAGAGACTATTACATGGTGGCATCCACTCGGTTCATGAAGACCATTCACATGAGCAAAGCCATTATTCGATACACCAATGGCAAAGGTCCTGCTTCTTCTGATCTTCCAGAGGCACCCATGGGTTGGGCTTGGTCCCTCAATCAATTCCGCACCTTCCGATGGAACCTCACTGCCAGCGCTGCTAGGCCTAACCCCCAAGGCTCCTTCCGCTATGGTTCCATCAACATTACTCGCACCATCAAGCTCGTCAATTCCTTCGGTAACGTCGACGGTAAGCTACGATATGCCATCAACGGCGTCTCTCATGTCGAAACCGAAACTCCATTGAAGCTTGCGGAATACTTCAAAGTCCCTGAGAAGGTGTTCAAGTACGACACGATTACCGACGAGGGATTACCAGAAGGTTCGACCACCATCACTGTGGCTCCTAATGTTCTCAATGCAACCTACCGCAACTTCGTTGAGATCATTTTTGAGAACCACGAGAAGAGGCTCCAATCATGGCATTTGAATGGCTACTCCTTCTTTGCCGTTGCGTAAGTATCACTAATGCAATTGTTTCGTTGTAGCATATATGGGTAATGAATTGTTGTGTTGTTTAATGTGGTTTACAGCATCGAGCCAGGGAAATGGTCTCCAGAAAAGCGAACCAACTACAATCTTCTTGATGCGGTGAGCAGGCACACCATCCAAGTTTTCCCCAAGTCGTGGGCGGCCATTCTTCTGACATTCGACAACTGTGGAATGTGGAACTTGAGGTCTGAGCTGACAGAAAACCGTTACTTGGGACAGCAACTGTATGTCAGTGTCCTTTCCCCAGCTCTGTCGCTCCGAGATGAGTACAACATTCCAGACCGCACTTTGCTATGTGGAGTGGTGAAGGGCATGCCATTACCCAAACCATATACCATTTGAGCTCATTCATCCCCCATTTTCTTCCTTGATTTTTATTTATTTATTTATTTATTTTCAATGTATGATTCTTCCATTTAAACAATAAAAGAATTTATTCTTATCACTATCTCTCCAATTTTATTTATTTCTTACTATATACGATTTGGAACAACGAATCTCTTTATGTTAAACAGATTCATTTTGCAAGTTCGTTATTACGGGTAGTTCCTACAAAGGATCGAACAAATAACGTATACAATACTTGAATTCTCGATGTAGATGCTACATAGTTGGTTCTCATCCTTTAGACCAGTGGGATGACTATGACTATTAGCCGTTAGTAAATTTAATGAAAATGTTTTTTTCGATATTATGGATGACTAGTTATGGAGGGACCGTTTCATTCACCAACTTCCTTGACCTTCCGGCACTGGGCAGGTGTCAGCCCCCATATATGGTCTTATGACTTTGCGGAGGCCTCCCGAAGTTCCAAGGCTATTTTGCCGAGTTTCTTAGATAATCAATAATAATTTATGTTAGTTAATAATTGTTTATTTAGAAAATTATGTTAATTAATAATTGTTTATTTAGAAAATTTATGTTAATTAATAATTCTTAGTTCGATACTTTTGTATCTTAAATTATGTTCATAATTTTCGATATTGTTCCCCAAAATTATAATGAATTAACATAATTTAAGATACAAAAGTATCGAACTAAGAATTATTAATTAACATAAATTTTCTAAATAAAAAATTATTAATTAACATAATTTTCTAAATAAACAATTATTAATTAACATAATTTTCTAAATAAACAATTATTAATTAACATAATTTTCTAAATAAACAATTATTAATTAACATAATTTTCTAAATAAACAATTATTAATTAACATAATTTTCTAAATAAACAATTATTAATTAACATAATTTTCTAAATAAACAATTATTAATTAACATAATTTTCTAAATAAACAATTATTAATTAACATAATTTTCTAAATAAACAATTATTAATTAACATAATTTTCTAAATAAACAATTATTAATTAACATAATTTTCTAAATAAACAATTATTAATTAACATAATTTTCTAAATAAACAATTATTAATTAACATAATTTTCTAAATAAACAATTATTAATTAACATAATTTTCTAAATAAACAATTATTAATTAACATAATTTTCTAAATAAACAATTATTAATTAACATAATTTTCTAAATAAACAATTATTAATTAACATAATTTTCTAAATAAACAATTATTAATTAACATAATTTTCTAAATAAACAATTATTAATTAACATAATTTTCTAAATAAACAATTATTAATTAACATAATTTTCTAAATAAACAATTATTAATTAACATAATTTTCTAAATAAACAATTATTAATTAACATAATTTTCTAAATAAACAATTATTAATTAACATAATTTTCTAAATAAACAATTATTAATTAACATAATTTTCTAAATAAACAATTATTAATTAACATAATTTTCTAAATAAACAATTATTAATTAACATAATTTTCTAAATAAACAATTATTAATTAACATAATTTTCTAAATAAACAATTATTAATTAACATAATTTTCTAAATAAACAATTATTAATTAACATAATTTTCTAAATAAACAATTATTAATTAACATAATTTTCTAAATAAACAATTATTAATTAACATAATTTTCTAAATAAACAATTATTAATTAACATAATTTTCTAAATAAACAATTATTAATTAACATAATTTTCTAAATGAACAATTATTAATTAACATAATTTTCTAAATAAACAATTATTAATGAACATAATTTTCTAAATAAACAATTATTAATTAACATAATTTTCTAAATAAACAATTATTAACTAACATAAATTATTATTGATTATCTAAGAAACTCGGCAAAATAGCCTTG